CTTCACATAAACACACCACGTTATCACAACCCACTCGTATTCAACCCCAACGCAAAGCCAAAGAAACACTTACACAATAAACTCTATTTAATAAAATTACAGGAATTATTATAATGATATTTTTGTTTTGTTTTCTTCTTTCCTGATAGCGTTGACTATTGTGGCAGTAATAGCTATGTTGGTAAGTATGAATTACATACTATCTCTAGATTTCCATGTGAGTGTGTGAATATTTGTTTTATTTTTATTTTTTATTTTTCTTTAGAACCCTACATAACTTCACCAGACACAGACACAGACACTAATCGTTACTTGATTTTAATCCGTGCGATTAGTTAACCAGGCTAGACCTGAGTTCTCACAAGAAACACCGACAATAATAATAAGAATTTATTGCCCTACAGATTACAAAATCCAATTACAGGACAATTTAATCAAAATTAAAGTGGTGTACAAAATTGTTAGAAGTAAATGACATAAAATATCAAAGATACACGTAAGAAAAAACAAAAAAATTATACAATAATAATAATAATAATGGAAATTACTAAATAACATTCTAAGCAAAATCAAATACCAATTTCTGCTAGGACGTCGCATAGAGGACTATGATGAATATCACTATGTTTCGATAAACTATTAAAAATTCTAATGGTATGGTATAAAGGCGATTTAATTAACATATTAGTATGGGGAGTAGATTGATAAAATGTTACAATATTTCTCGAAGAACGAGATGGTACATGAAAGTTTATAAGTGAAAGTAAATAAGGACAATCAATTAAATTATGTAATAAATTGTACAAAAAAGAGATACAAATTTCACAACGTCTGCGTTCTAGGGATTTAAGGAAAAAACGTGAAAGCAAACGTTGTTGGCTATAACCTCGTGGGGGATATTGATGATCAATTCTATAAACTAAAGATTTTAAGAATTTGCGTTGTACATATTCAAGCTTATCTTTCTGGTATTTTACAATGGGATTCCACACTATAGCACAATATTCCAGTCTCGAGCGAACTAAAGAATAGTATAAGGTCTTCAACGTTGTAATATTGGTGAAAGATTTACAATTTCTTAAAATAAAACCAAAGGTCGAGATGGCTTGTTTAGCGGTATTATCAATGTGTTTTGAAAATGTAAGACCAGCATCGAAGGTTACACCTAAATCCTTAATACTATTTGTTTTAACCAGTGTAGCAGTATTAATGTTGTATTCAAAGTCAATGGGCGTGACCCCACGGGAGTAGGTGACTACTGTACATTTATTGATGTTTAATGGTAACCTATTTAAATCACACCACTCACTAAGAATGTCAAGTTGACGTTGAAGGTGCACACAGTCGTGTATAGTTGCAATAGTAGAAAAGATTTTAAAATCGTCAGCAAACAGTAAACTACCACAATTAGTAATTTTTTCCGGCAAATCATTAATAAAAATTAAAAATAAGAGAGGTCCCAAATTGGACCCCTGAGGTACTCCAGAAGTGGCAGTTATATAAGACGAAACGAAATTGTTATAAGTTATCTGTTGGTATCGATTTTGCAAATAGCTCTTAAACAGAAGTTGTAAAGAAACATCAAAACCAAAGTTATCTAATTTTGCTAAGATAATGTCATGCATGAGCAATTGAATCAAAAGCCTTGGCAAAATCAGTGTAGATACAATCTACCTGCCCACGATTGTCAAGTACAGTCTCTATAAATTGGGTAATGCAGGTCAGGTTAGTGGCCGTGGATCTGTGCTTCATGAACCCATGTTGAGCTGGAGAGATAAATCTTTTCACAGATGGATAAATTCTACCCTATAACACTTTCTCATATTGATGTATGACTATGGCAAGAAAAATCCTAATAAAATCAAAGAAAATAGTCCTATCAAAAATCTATCATCAATTGCTACTCAAGCTAACTTTAATCATTTTCCTTTTATTTGAAACGTTAAGGTCTAGGAGATGTCCCCTACTGCACATTTTCTTAAGTATGTGTTGATTACGTTTTAAATAGTAAGAAAATCTTATGAACTTCTCCATGCTCCCTTTTTTCGTACAAAGGTATAAGTACAAAACACGTTCCAAACAGCTAGAAAATCTCAAAAATGTGTCTTGGTGTACTTTTTTCAAGGGATGTGGTTAAAGAGCTAGATGTTTCGACGTGGGTTCATCTATTACTACCACCACATAAACTTGATTCGACTCGTAGATGCTCTTTCTCGAAATAGAGAAGGTACAGGCAGAAGAACAGACGTACAAAAGAGAAGTTTCTTTTCAAAAAACATATCTAACGTATCGCAGACGTGATCAATGATCCAATCCCGGATTGGAGTGTTGAAGGACCCCTTATGTAAGTGAGGGCGAATTTTTTTTAAATAACGCTGTTTCAGTGCAGATTCGTATGGTTGCTAGTGGTCCCTTAAATTCGTATAATACATACACTTCCAATTAGGGCAGGGAGCGTTGTTAAATTTTCATGCGCCTCTATAGGAGAAAAATATTTGATGCACCGCCACAATAAAATAATTTCAAAAAACTAGTTCAAAACGGCGGGAGTAAGTGGATCTTTTGACCGTACACGCCATTGACGGCTCTGTATTCAAAACGATTAAATCACTTACTCGTTATGAGATAAGGAGATGATCTGTACGACCTAAGCATTATCGTTTATAGGTGACAGGTACTCTAAACGCAGGCATTTCTACTTGTGCGGTACGCGGGTCCATATCGTTTCGTTCGTGGTTCGACGAGGGATCGAGTGAAAAACCGATAAGGGTAAGTTTTTACTTTGTAACTAGGATTTTAATGTTTTATAAAATAGACTAAGACACCAATTAAGTTTGTCATTACCTACCCTTCTTCAGTAAACGAATCTGTGTGGCCTTTTACTTATATCAACTTTTCACCCTTACTTCTGTTTCCGAAATATGGTTATTTTGAGAGTTTTTTCTTAGTTCTTACATCGTGAAGTAAGACCAAAAAAGTAACTATTGGAGAACCAAAGAATTCTATTCCAAATTCCGTCAGCTCTTGGCACCCAAAATTTAATCATTGCCCTCTCATGTGGCAGGTCACTGATTTTTCCACCCGTTTATTATTCTGTAATACAAATGGAACGGTCGGTTGTGTTTTCAATTTGAAGACATGACGTCTTATCACTCCATTCCGGTTTTAAAGCGACGACCTTCGGGGGTTGCGATAGTAGCCTGTACTCTTATCAGTTCTTTCTTCGTCATGAAGCGAACATAACATGGCACCATAAATTAATCTCTAAATAAAATTTTGAACCATGGAGAACTTCTGGAGTTTCTGGTGCTATTACATTTCTAAATTTTGATCAACCATTTAACACACAATTGAATTTCAATAAAATTCTGTGGAAAGGGAATTTGGTTTACATGCTTCATTTTGTGGATTATGCAAAGCAAAATGCAGCATTTTGCCATGTTCTTAGAAATGTTGGTTTCCCATTTGTCGTACACTTAATGGACTACACTGTATGCGATTAGAATTCAGGCAAAAACAACGCCTGCTCCAAAGTGCGTCAGTACTACAAACTACAATACCTTTCAGTTTTTTGGATACTAAATCTGTTGTGTTTTCAGGTGTTTTTTCGACGCGAAATGATGGGTTCCACTGGGCGGAAATGGGTGTCCATCCTCATGTGGAGGAAACGATACAAGCTTGGCCAGGTATGTGATTAACAAAACATTTCAATAATTGTTGCAAATTCCCAGACGAAATTATTAAATAAATTACGATTTCACTCTACCAACTTAACCAAAACAGGTAGGCTAATTCAATTCTTGTGCATCAAGTCAATGTATTTTGCCGTTTTCCCGATGAAATCGGTGCCATAATTGGAAATTTTGTCTCCTGCATTAAAGTTAAAGCAAAACTCCATTTGAAACTGGCAAACCAGTTGCATCAACCGT